AGGCAGGACTAGAACTTCCAGGCGCCTGATGATTGGCCCAAAGTCCACCTAATTGGCTTTCATGCGTAAGGCAGGACTAGAACTTCCAGGCGCCTGATGATTGGCCCAAAGTCCACCCAATTGGCTTTCATGCGTAAGGCGGGACTAGAACTCCCAGTCTCCTGGTGATTGGCCCAAAGTCCACCTAATCGGTTTTCATGCGTAAGGCAGGACTAGAACTCCCATCTCCTGGTGATTGGCCTAAAGTTCACCTAATTGGCTTTCATGCGTAAGGCAGGACTAGAACTTCCAGTCTCCTGATGATGGGCCCAAGTCCACCTAATCGGTTTTCATGCGTAAGGCAGGACTAGAACTCCCATCTCCTGGTGATTGGCCCAAAGTCCACCTAATCGGCTTTCATGCGTAAGGCAGGACTAGAACTCCCATCTGGTGATTGGCCCAAAGTCCACCTAATTGGCTTTCGTGCCTAAGGCAGGACTAGAATTCCCAGTCTCCTGGTGACTGGCCTAAAGTTCACCTAATTGGCTTTCATGCGTAAGGCAGGACTAGAACTTCCAGTCTCCTGATGATGGGCCCAAGTCCACCTAATTGGCTTTCATGCGTAAGGCGGGACTAGAACTCCCATCTCCTGGTGATTGGCCCAAAGCCCACCTAATTGGCTTTCGTGCCTAAGGCAGGACTAGAACTCCCATCTCCCACTTTCTAGCCTTGTGCAAACCTTGACCAAAATGGCAAACCATGGAAGATTGGTGCTGAGGATGATGGGACGTGCAACCCAGAATCCCTTCAGGCATTTGCTGGAGGTGAACCCAGATCTCCCCACCCCCCCACCCCAATAAACCCAACAAAGTAATCAGGATTCCATCCTGGCTTTCTAAGAATAACCCTGGCTTGTTTTACAGTTCAAGAGAATGGAGGCAATCAATCAGAAAAGAGAACATTTCTCTCCCTCTCTCTCCCTCTCTCTCCCTCTCTTCCTCATTGTCTCTCCATCTCTCTTTCTTGCTCCCTCTCTCATTCTCTCTTATTCTCTCTCTCTTATTCCTTCCCTCTCTTTCTTATTCTCTCTCATTCTCTCTCTCCATCTCTCTCTCTTGCGCCCTCTCTCATTCTCTCTTTCTTACACTTTCCCACTCTCTCTCCCTCTTCCTCATTCTCTCTCTACATCTCTCTCTCTTCATTCTCTCTCTACATCTCTCTTTCTCGCTCCCTCTCTCATTCTCTTATTCTCTCCCTCTCTTCCTCATTCTGTCATTCTCTCTCTCCATATCTCTCTCTCGCCCCCTCTCTCATTCTCTTTCTTACTCTTTCCCACTCTCTCTCCCTCTCTTCCTCATTCTTCTCTCATTCTCATTCTCTCTTTCCATCTCTCTCTCTCTTATTCTGTCTCTCATACTCTTATTCTCTCTCTCTCCATCTCTCTCTTATTCTCTTTCGTATTCTCTCCCCCCCTCTCTCCCTCTCTTCCTCATTTTCTCTCTCTATCTCTCTCTCCATCTCTCTCTTTTTCTCTCTCTCTCCATCTCTCTTATTCCCTCTCTTTTTTATTCTCGCCCATCTCTCTTCCTCTCTTCCTCATTCTCTCTCTCCCTCATTCTCTCTCTCCCTCTCTCTCTCCCTCTCGTTCTCATTTTCTCTCTCTCTCATTCTCATTCTCTCTTTCCATCTCTCTCTCTTATTCTGTCTCTCATACTCCCTTATTCGCTCTCTCTCTCCATATCTCTCTCTCGCCCCCGCTCTCATTCTCTTTCTTACTCTTTCCCACTCTCTCTCCCTCTCTTCCTCATTCTCTCTCTCCCTCATTCTCTCTCTCCC